ACAAGGGGGGGCTGTGACGCAGACTGCGTCATTGAAATTCTTGGGGGGGGGGTTGCATAATTTCAAATGGTGGGGGGGGGGGGTGGCTAAAGTTAATTGCAACAGTGTTTAATGTGACTACAATCAAAAATATATTATGAAGTCACCAGATATAAAGTTGATTAATTCGATTAATTAATGACAATAGTTATATTATTGAATTCAATTAGTTAAAATAGGATTTTAGGATAGTTTAGGATTTGTGTAGGAAGTTATTATTCAAGATTAGCAAGACGTGAGATCTAAGAGGGAGGACACGGGATGGCTCAACTGCTGTGATAGATAAAAGATAACGTGTGGTACAGACACGTCCAGCTACACCGCGAGTTAGCACAAAACGCTTTGTTGACATAAAACTCGTTAAAATACAATGAAGTAGCATAGGCTACAATACTTTACAATATTGTGTAGATACTCGATTACCTGAGTGAATAGGGAGGGGGGTAATGAAAAATAAGGTTAATCCATTATAGTATAAATAAACAGATGACAAACCCATTAAAACGCTGTAAACAGCCATTAATGTCACGATTTGCATTTTTATAAACGAAATTCAATATTGCACAATCATTATTATTGTGCAATAACATTATTATTGTTCATTTCAAATAATTTATCTTGGTTCAGTTGTACAAACGGAAACGTTTAAATTATGTCTAACTCAAACTCAACTAATAACTAGCCAAACACTGCATTGCTATAAATAACGTAAATATTAAAGGACCCTTTAGAAAGTGTTATAAGCTCATGATAGACGGATAGGCTACCAGTAGGTGCTGTATCACAGCATAGGAATTGATAGATAAGTAATAAAAAAAGTGTAAAATTATATTTAGAGATAGTAAAAACACTCTTAAAAAAGAATGTGACGAGAACTTGCTGTCTCGAATCCAAGCTCGCTTCACTCGGATGTTGGGTATCCGTATTGGTTATGCTTATACCGATGTACCAATTGAAGAACTTCAGAGGATCTTTGGTATCCAACCTCTTCACATCCGACGTAGACTGGCTGATCTTGTGGTACTGTACAAGCTGGTTAATGGTCTTCTGGACAGCCCCGATCTGCTTTTCAACATTGACCTTATTGTCCCGAGAGGCACTGGCTCCAGAGCAATTTTCCAGCGCAGATTCCATCCCACATCATATGCGTACAACAGCGACTTGTCTCGGTTACTGCGTGAGGGCGCTGTGGCGGCTGCTCATGTGGACTTCTTCTGCACTTCAGCTCTTGTTTTTAAAATATATGCCAGTGCCTTTTTAAACTAGTGGCTGCCTAAGGGCTTCAGTAAAGTTTCAGTTATTTCTTTGGTGGTGCCTTTAAAGGGCCACATTTGTGTCCAGTTGGAGCTTCCTGTTTGCCTATTAAATAAGTTTCCTGTTGTGTTTGCGTTTGTTAAATTAATTTATGGCTGTTGTTTTGTATATATATATATATATATATATATATATTTATTTATTTATTTATTTATTTATTTTTGTTGTTGTTGTTGTTGTATCTTACTTTTAGCGAATTTCCCTGTAGGGAAGTAGCTATTACCGTAGGTGGCACGGTAAGAACTAGACCCGGGACCGATTTACTTTTTCATTTTGATGTCCCCAGAGGCCAAAAACACTATTCGTTCAAATTTTTATATATGTATATATATATATATATATATATATATATATAGACTTATATCTAATATATAAAATTCTCGTGTCACAGTGTTTGTCTGCAAACTCCTCCGGAACGACTTCACCGATCGTAATGAAATTTGGTGTGTAAATTCTGTAGGTATGCGAATCGGACGTAAACTATTTCCCGTTTCGAAATTCTTAAAAGGGCTCCGCCCCAGTGGCTCTGGAGTTTCCCATGTTAACCTTATGAGAAATGGAATTAATGAATCTTAACAGCTGTTTCAATTAAACAAGTTGGTTCTGTTCTATGATGTTCAATAGCATTAAAGTTTCAAGGATTACCAACAGGGTGCAGCACTATTATTTCTTTTACATTTATGACAACAGCTAATTTGCAACCAAAAGGTGAGTGAGCGTAGCGAACGAACTTCAACCTGGAGGCGAGTTAGCGTAGCGAACGAGCTCCAACCTAAAGGCAAGTGAGCGCAGCGAACGAGCTCCAACCCAAAGGTGAGTGAGCGTAGCGAACGATCTTCAACCAGGACGTGATTGAGCGATGCGAACGAGATCATCTTGAAAATTAAACGTAACGGTACTTTCTTTCCATCGGTCTGTCTTAGGGGAAACCTATAACTTAGGCGGGTCAGCTAGTATATATATATATATATACGTCCGTGAACGCGATAACTTGAGTAATTTTTGTCCGATTTTGATGAAATTTGGTTTAAAGGTGTAAAGCGGGATAAACTTGAATGAGTTCGCGAACAAGCACGATCGGACCATGGGAACGGGGCTTTACGGGGGGTTTGATGGGGTAAAAATTGGTTTTTCTCACTTTTGACCCTCAAAACACAAAATTTCCCGATTTCTCTTTAGACCTTTTTAAAGAGCTTAAAAAAACAAATAATTTAGTATATAAAAGTATTTTTGTTCAATTATTAGTAACGGAGAAAATTAAAAAAATTGTAAATTTAAAATTCCCATGTTATTCTTATGGAGAATATTGTCAAATGTTGTAGTTTGCTTGTTTATGGATATATTTTGATCAAACTTGGCAAATTTATTTATTTTGTACTAAGCTATCAATATTTTACTCAAAAACACACTTTATTAGTTTCCTTGTAGCAGCAAACCTAGGTACTCGTTAAACCTAATGTTATTAAAATATATTTAACTGAAAATCAATTCAGACAAATGGAAATTCGCTTAGTCGGCAGGTTTGCTGCGGCGGGGGTATTTCTTTTGTTAGTCTACCGGTATTGCACTTGTTGTTTCCTTTTTTCTCGTTGTTGTTATGTCTCGTTTGCATATTGTTAAATATTGTTGTTGTTATGTTTTTGCACTTCATATTTTACCTGTTGTTGTTATATTTTGCGCCATATTATTATGTCTTTTGCATCTTATGCCTGCTCCTCATTTTCATTCTTATTAATTGCACGTATTTTAGTAGCCTGTACCAAATTTGCTATGTCTGTGTATGCCTTACACTTGAAATGTTTCAGCCTATGAATGTATTTTTGTTTTCTTTTATACTGGTTATGTATTTTGCATGTCATGTCTGCTTTTTAATTTATTCTTATTATTGCTCATATTTATTACCTAATTATGCTATGTTTATAAAGTGATTTAATCCTATTTAATGTATATTCTAATGTAAAAATGGTGTTACTCTTGAATGAATAAATAAAAAAAAGACAAATCTTGTTATTCTTTTTCTTTGTTCTTAGGTTTATTATTAGGTTTCTCTTCAATTCATACACAAATTCATCAAGTCGCCATATTTAGGCCTACTTGTTGCCCAATCACAGCCTTACTAAAAGTTACCATGGTTACTAATCACTCAATCACAGTTTACTAAGCATTATATCGTCATCATTCCCCAGCTGTTGTATCTGAAATCTGCTGTAACATAGCGCACAGCAGACAGAAGTGTAAAACGGAGCAGACGATTGTTGGCGCAAGCGTTGTTTCCATTTCATTTTCATCAAAGGTGCTATGATGTTTCCAAAGGGAGGGAGAGGGGGTCGTTATATCAAGAGAAAGACGCTGACAATTCCTTAAGCAGAGGTTACGAACGCTATACAGATATTCTGGCAATAAAAAATTCCTTAAATTGAGGTGACTTATAAAACTCTAATTATATTTATATAGAAAGATAAGTTTCCCAGTCCTGTACAACACTGATTCACGGTATTTTCCCGGTAATCAAAATTCAAGTACAACTTGATACACACAGAATCTCCGGTTCCCGACCTGGATTATGGCTAGTTATTTAATTTAATTTACAGTTACATATACATATTAGTACCCGTGATAAATCAAACCTGTTATGTAAGCCAAAGCCAACCACACGGTTATTAATCTCACTGAGTTTTGGATTTGCTTACAAACGTGATCGGAAATGGTTACAAACGTGATCGGAAATGGGTTAGGGCCTACACAGTATTCGTATAAAACATTTATGTAAAGATAACAGTGACAGCTAGAAAAATGAATCTTTATCAAAACAGCTGTTTTAACAGATTATTAGTATTTCATAAATGACGTATGTAGTAAACATGGAGAAAAAAAAAAACTAGAAAAATCACAAAAAATTGGGTTTTTGATCGTCCGTTATTTTATTTTCAAAATAGTGAGGCCATATTTTAATGGCTAAGGACACTCTCGCCAATCCTGCGAATACCTGCGTAAAATGCCTTCTGGGCCGTGACAGACGGACATAAATTGAGATAAGACATGTTTCAACTTCTTCAATGTATATAACGTAAAAATAACCCAAAATATGTATAATTCTGTGCGATGTACAGACAAAACCATAACTTTATTTATATAAATTAACTAGGTTTGAATTTTCAATAAAAAAAAATTATAAAACTTCTTTTAGTTTTACAAATAGTGCTGGGCGGGGGAATAATGTTTCTCATTTGTTGTGTACCTCATTTATGGTGGGGGGGGGGGCTGTTGCTCAATTTGTGGGGGGGGGGTGCGTCATTAGTCTAGGGGGGGATGGGCACCTCTGTATTAGACGAATACAATGCCCCATATTTGAGCTTAAAAGAACAACTGAGTCAAAAATTACAGCTGTAAAGATTCAAAATTGCTAATTCAAGTATTCATAAACGGTTGCCATTTTGACTCGGCTGTCCAATTGAGTTTAGATTTGCAGCATTGTATTTTACTAACAAAGAACTTTAATTTCATTTGCATATCAACCTATGCTTACTTTTAATATTTTTTTCTGACTCCTAGAAGGTATGAATTCTGTATGATTTTGTACAAATATAAGGAATGTACAAAAAAACTCAAATTATTTTAAATATTTTATAATTGGCTGTTTTTTACAGACATGGTGGAATCATCCCGCCAGTTGCCAGAGATTTACACAAAGCTGCCATACAAGAAGTTGTTGCAAAAGCATTAGATTCAGCAAACTTAAAACTTAATGATGTGGATGCTATAGCCACCACTTTAAAACCTGGTAATACATATTATTTTATTTCATATAAAACTGAATCAAATCAAAGCAATTAATTTGATGTTCAAGTGATGGAAAGCGTTGTCAACTGATTGATTTTACAGTAGACATTTAACTATCCCGCTTCCATGTTATTTGACCTTTTCTATCGATGATTAGGTACTATGAGATTGTGTGATATTTTTGTGTGGTACAGCTTAATACCGTAAGGGTGCATCTAGACAACCCCTTACGACGCTTTACTTTACTCAGAAGATACGCCTCAGGCTTTAGGCTCCTGCACTTTACTTTTCTTTCCCATGGTTTTGCTTGCTGGGAAGTGTATTATATCCACCTTCAAGGTCACAACACTTCTGCTTGTAAAATTGAGTAGTAATTCATTGGTTGAAAGAAGGTTAGTGTTAAAGTCCCCCATGATCAAAACATGACTGTATCCAAACAAACAATTTAAGAGAGCGTTTTCAAAATCAAATAGATTGCCTGCTCTAGGTGGACGATAACATAGGCCCCTACACCTAAAAACAAGTTCTCAGTCCCAGATAGGCTAACTTCAATAATAAAAAATTCCAGTTTTGCAGAGTACTCAGAGTGTGTACAATTTACCACTTTAAAATGTATTTCCTCCCTGATATAAACTGCAATACCGCCACCCTGCTTGCCAGTTCTGTCATTGCGCTGCAGAATATAACCAGGAAGGTTCACTTCCTGTGATGGAATACTCGGCTTCAACTACGACTCAGAAACTGCGATTAAATCAAAATATATGTATCTGAACTGAAAATCTCCTTCACCTCATCAATGTTTGCACGTAACGACTGAGCGTTGATGTGCGCCGCCTTTAGATGCTTGGGGAAAGGAGATTAGGAGTGAGAGAGATAGTCAGAGGTTGATAGTGGGTGCTGAGGGAGGGGTAGTAGTATGCTGTCGTTGCTGCAAATAGATTTAGCCCATTTAATAAGATTGATAGCCAAGCCTGTTTTGTTTTGACATGAGTTGGATGATTAGAAGCAAAGTTTAAATATTGTCCTGTAGCAGTGGGTTTTCGGTAAACGCTAGTAAGCCAGCCTTGATCAAATTTCTCAACTAAACATTGTCTTTTTCCATTTCAATGGTGAATTGTATAGAGTCTAATTGACTATTTAGGTGGTCTCTGAATTTCATGAGTTCTTCCATTGAATCATCCCACATACAAAACACATCATCGATATAACGTAACCAGATTCTTGGTTTGGTTTGAAATGATCTTATCACATCCTGTTCAAATCTACCCATAAAAATATTGCTTAAAATGGGGGTTATAGTCGGGGCCAGGTTAACGCTGGGCAGACCCGCAGGCCATAAAACCGATAAGACCCTATTCAGCCCGGTCCTCGCCACCGAACCCTATTATGCCGCTTCGCTGGGCGCGTGACTCACTGCATCGGCAGTACAGTACGCCAACGTGAAAATCTTTATTTTTTTAACTACGTGAAAAATAATGTGATATTCTTGTTCGTCTTAAAATTCTGACAAAATTGATATAAAACTGAAATAAATCGGCTTATTTAATAGTTAATAAATTAATGATAAGTTATGTCATGTAATAACACAGACATTGTATGTTATAAATTATGATATAGTATATGATATAGTATTGGTAAGTTATTCAAAACTTGTCTGATAGAACATAGTTCATAATTATACATGATTAAACTATCTGTTTTACTACTAATCATCAATAATAATTATCCACTTCAATTTGTGTGCAAGCATTTTCAAATTATATGAAAATTACGAACATAATACTATCAGATCTTTAAGAGTGACTCACAGTTGTTTGTCTCTTAACACGCAAAATTGACGTGCTCTCCCTCATTCCTTGATGACGCGTTTCGTTTCTACAAATTGGTGATTTGTTCGGCGTTATTAGCGATGAGTAACGCGTTCGTCGAGCGTTCAGATTATGTTGCACCTTACCCTGGCGTTTGTTTTCCTTATCGCCACTGTATGAGATATCGGTCAGTTGCTGTTGGTTTCTGTTGCGAATACGTTTAGCTATGGCAGAGCAGCAGTTATTGTCTCCCCGGAAGTACATTGTTGGAAGAAGTCAGGCGTCTTACACTAGTGGTGAACGCAGGATCATTTTACATGTCTACGGTGTGTTACGTGAAGAAAACCCAAATTTATCGAAGAGAGAAGTTGCTGAGAGGGTTGGTGTTTTGACTGGAGCAGGAAGAGGCACGATAGAGAAACTAAGGAAAGAATTTGAAGAAGGTCCATTGGTCACACCGGGGAAAAAACGGCCAAAGAGAGTGGGTCAACGACTCAGGATTAATAAATACAGCGACTTTGAGAAAACAGGAATAAGAAGAAAAATAAAATAACAACTTAAGTTTTTATTTTTAAATAAACCACCTCCAATTTAAAAAAATAAATAAACTTACTTTAAATTTATTTTTATCAATTACTATCTATATAACATTATGATAGCTTGTAACCGTAAAAGAATTTTCATTTGTCAAGATATTTGAAAAAAAAACCTGTTATTTTTGGAAACCAACGAAAATACTTGCAAACAAATTGAAGTGGATAATTATTATTGATGATTAATAGTAAAACAGATAGTTTCATCATGTATAATTATGAACTATGTTCTATCAGACAAGTTTTGAATAACTTACCAATCTCATTTCCCCCAAATAAATTGATACACTCTTATTTTTACTGAAAGTGAGGTGGATTCTTAGATAAATATTATTGTTGCCTAAGAAGTAAAACAAATCGTTTAAGCATGTACATTGTGAACTACAGTACATTCAATCAGATAGGTTTTAAACGATTTACTCATGTCATTTCCCACCAACCTTTGTTTCAGTAGGCCTACCCCCTTTTTTCAAGTAAAGTGGACTCTTAAATAAATTGTTTTGTTATTTTTTTTACAATAATCAAAATTTATTTCCTTGATTTCGAGCAACGGGTTTACTATTAATTAATTGTAAATTAATTAAAAGAATTATTATTATAGGATCTAAGCATTTATAAGTAGCAAGTTTTCTTTTGACCTTTAAATAAACGGAAAGCATTATCAGGATTGAAGTATCCGCGCGTTTATTGTTTTTTATGTTAAAAGACAGAGATTTTCTTTTTAGTAATGACCCCCCTTGACTGCTTTTTGACCTACTTTTTATACCATATCATAATTTATAACATACAATGTCTGTGTTATTACATGACATAACTTATCATTAATTTATTAACTATTAAATAAGCCGATTTATTTCAGTTTTATATCAATTTTGTCAGAATTTTAAGACGAACAAGAATATCACATTATTTTTCACGTAGTTAAAAAAATAAAGATTTTCACGTTGGCGTACTGTACTGCCGATGCAGTGAGTCACGCGCCCAGCGAAGCGGCATAATAGGGTTCGGTGGCGAGGACCGGGCTGAATAGGGTCTTATCGGTTTTATGGCCTGCGGGTCTGCCCAGCGTTAACCTGGCCCCGACTATAGAACCCCGCCCATCGCAATACTCTTGGTTTGTTCAAAAAATTCATTTTTGACTTGAAAATAGTTTGACTTAATACAGACTGATAGTAGTTCCATAATGTTGGATATGGGAATCTTGGTTTTGTCTTCCAGATTGACATCATTTTATCTTTTCCCTCACAATTACAAACAAGGCCCGTTTGGAACTTTAGGGAATAAGTTAGTCACATCAAAGCTGACGAGGATAAGATTTCCACTTTACTGTAAGGTTGCGTTGTCTACTCTGAAACCCCTTAAAATTCAATTAACTTACATAAAAATGTCTCAGAAAAGTTAAGTTGCATAAATTCAAAGTACAATATTCGGACAGTTTTCAAAAGTAAAGATACAATTCGTCTGCCTCACCAAACTAAAACCTGAAAATGAACAGCGAAACACAAAAAAAGTTGTGTTTTTGCACAAAATTACACAAAAAAGGAATTGTCAATAAAATTCCTTGTTCGTGTGGCAGAAACTTTGTAGGGCAAACGTCAAGGGCAGTTACGACTAGGATTAATGAACACATTAAAAAAGTTAAAAATAAAGATAGGTATGGTTCGAGAATTTGTGAGCATGCATGAGAGACACACCACACAGTAAAATGGGATTCCAGCAAAATGCTATAGGCCTACAAAGACGGTTCTTGGAGGAAACGGAAAAGGTCCGGTGACTGGAGGAAACGGAACATTGTAGAGTCACTACTTATGGCTATTGAAGACAAGCCTCTATCACAACCATCGGTGGATATTAGTATGGTTTATTTACATGCATGTAGCCGGGGGCCGTTGGTTGGGGTGTTGATGGGGGTTAATGGTATGGTATGGAGGAGGGAATTCGGGTAATCAGGAGGGAATAAACAGGGTAATGCAATAGGTTAGGAGTAGGTGTGTCTGGACCAAACTTAATATAAGCGTGCTGAATCTGCTACCAATAAAATTAGGAAGATTGCTGGGGACCAGAGGGATGGAGACCTTTTACCCAGATCAGAACACTTGCCTAGCCAGCTTTGATTTGCACTAATTGAACTAACTATTTAAATATTGACCTATCCTTCCAACTATGAACTGGACTTGGATAATTTCTTACTACTTGGATACTTCTTTGAAACTGTTTTTCTTTGTCACAGCTAATTTGAGAGAATGGCTGGGCGTAGAAACTCGGTAGAGGTTTCTAAAGAAAGGGCTTGGTCTGTAGATGAGCCATCAAAAGAGAAACGTGGTAAATTCCCTTGGGGCTCTGCCCCAGTGGCCTTTAAATTCCCATCCCATGTTATTCTTATGGGGGAAAAACAGGTTTTTGTCACAGCTAATTTCAGAGAACGGCTGGGCGTAGAAACTTGGTAGGCGTCTCTAAAGAAAGGTCTTGGTCTGTAGATGAGCCATCAAAAGAGAAACGAGGTAAATTCTCTTGGGGCTCTGCCCCAGAGGCCTTTAAAGTTCCCTCAGCAGATTAGTTTACATTATGACCATATGTATAATTTTACACTACTTTTTAAT